ACCATTTGACAGATCCTCCAAACAAAAGTTGAATAAAGAAACTATAGAACTCAATATCACAATCAACAACCTAGCCTTAACTGACATATATAGAATATATCAACCATCATCAAGTGGATATACTTTTTTCTCAGCAGCACATGGATCCTTCTCAAAAATAGACCATATATTATGCCATAGGGCAACCCTCAGTAAATATACAGGGGTGGAGATAATCCCATGCATTTTATCTGATCATAATGGAATGAAACTGGAAATCAATGATAAAAGAAGGAAGGAAAAATCCTACATCACATGGAAAATGAACAATATGTTACTGAATGATCAATGGGTTACAGAAGACATAAAGGAAGAAATCAAAAAATTCTTAGAGATAAATGAAAATACAGACACAACATATCGGAATCTATGGGACACAATGAAAGCAGTTTTAAGAGGGAAATTCATAGCCTGGAGGTCATTCCTCAAAAAAAGGAAAAACCAACAAATAAATGAGCTCACACTTCATCTCAAAGCCCTAGAAAAGGAAGAGCAAAACAACAGCAAATGTAGCAGAAGGCAAGAAATAATTAAAATCAGAGCGGAAATCAACGAAATTGAAACAAAAGAAACTATTGAAAAAATTAACAAAACTAAAAGTTGGTTCTTTGAAAAAATAAATAAGATCGACAGACTAGCTATGCTAACGAAGAGAAGAAGAGAGAGAACTCAAATTACTAACATACGGGATGAAAAAGGCAATATCACAACAGACGCTACAGAAATACAGAAGACAATTAGAAATTATTTTGAAAACCTATATTCCAATAAAATAGAAGATAGTGAAGACATCGATAAATTCCTTAAGTCATATGATTTGCCCAGACTGAGTCAGGAGAATACTCACAACTTAAACAGACCAATATCAATAGATGAAATAGAAGAAGCAATCAAAAGACTACCAACCAAGAAAAGCCCAGGACCGGATGGGTATACAGTGGAGTTTTACAAAACCTTTAAGGAAGAATTAATACCAATACTTTTCAAGCTATTTCAGGAAATAGAAAAAGAGGGAGCTCTGCCAAATTCATTCTATGAGGCCAACATCACCCTGATTCCGAAACCAGACAAAGACACCTCAGAGAAAGAAAACTACAGACCAATATCTCTGATGAATCTAGATGCAAAAATCCTCAATAAAATTCTGGCGAATCGGATACAAAGGCACATCAAAAAAATTGTGCACCATGATCAAGTAGGATTCATCCCTGGGATGCAAGGATGGTTCAATATACGGAAATCAATAAATGTTATTCACCACATCAATAGACTTAAAGATAAGAACCATATGATCATCTCAATAGACGCAGAAAAAGCATTCGACAAAGTACAGCATCCCTTTATGTTCAAAACATCAGAAAAACTAGGGATAACAGGAACTTACCTCGACATTGTAAAAGCTATCTATGCTAAGCCTCAGGCTAGCATCATTCTGAATGGAGAAAAATTGAAGGCATTCCCCCTAAAATCTGGAACAAGACATGGATGCCCTCTATCACCACTTCTATTCAATATAGTACTCGAAACACTGGCCAGAGCAATTAGACAGATGAAAGAAATTAAAGGCATAAAAATAGGAAAGGAAGAACTTAAATTATCACTATTTGCGGATGACATGATTCTATACCTAGAAGACCCAAAAGGGTCTACAAAAAAACTACTAGAACGAATAAATGAATTCAGCAAAGTGACAGGATATAAAATCAACATGCATAAATCAAAGGCATTTCTGTATATCAGCGACAAAACTTCTGAAACGGAAATGAGGAAAAACACTCCATTCACAATATCCTCAAAAAAAATAAAATACTTGGGAATCAACCTAACAAAAGAGGTGAAGGATTTATACAATGAAAACTACAAAACCCTAAAAAGAGAAGTAGAAGAAGATATTAGAAGATGGAAAAATAGACCCTGTTCATGGATAGGCAGAACTAACATCATCAAAATGGCGATATTACCAAAAGTTCTCTATAGGTTTAATGTAATGCCAATCAAAATCCCAATGGCATTTCTTGTAGAAATAGATAAAGCAATCATGAAATTCATATGGAAAAATAAAAGACCCAGAATAGCAAAAGCAGTTCTAAGCAGGAAGTGTGAATCAGGTGGTATAGCAATACCGGATTTAAAACTATATTACAGAGCAATAGTAACAAAAACAGCATGGTACTGGTACCAAAACAGGCGGGTGGACCAATGGTACAGAATAGAGGACACAGAGACTAATCCACAAAGCTACAACTATCTTATATTTGATAAAGGAGCTAAAAGCATGCAATGGAGGAAGGATAGCATCTTCAACAAATGGTGTTGGGAAAACTGGAAATCCATATGCAACAAAATGAAACTGAATCCCCTCCTCTCGCCATGCACAAAAGTTAACTCAAAGTGGATCAAGAAGCTAGATATCAAATTAGAGACTCTGCGTCTGATAGAAGAAAAAGTTGGCTCTGATCTACATATTGTGGGGTCGGGCTCCAAATTCCTTAATAGGACACCCATAGCACAAAGGTTAATAACAAGAATCAACAAATGGGACTTACTTAAACTGAAAAGTTTTTTCTCAGCAAGAGAAACAATAAGAGAGGTAAATAGGGAGCCTACATCATGGGAACAAATTTTTACTCCTCACACTTCAGATAGAGCCCTAATATCCAGAGTATACAAAGAACTCAAAAAATTAAACAATAAGAAAACAAATAACCCAATCAACAAATGGGCCAAAGACCTGAACAGGCACTTCTTAGAGGAGGACATACAATCAATCAACAAGTACATGAAAAAATGCTCACCATCTCTAGCAGTCAGAGAAATGCAAATCAAAACCACCCTAAGATACCATCTCACTCCAGTAAGATTGGCAGCCATTATGAAGTCAAACAACAAGTGCTGGAGAGGATGTGGGGAAAAGGGTACACTTGTACATTGCTGGTGGGACTGCAAACTGGTGCGGCCAATTTGGAAAGCAGTATGGAGATTCCTGGGAAAGCTGGGAATGGAACCACCATTTGACCCAGCTATTGCCCTTCTCGGACTATTCCCTGAAGACCTTAAAAGAGCGTACTACAGGGATACTGCTACATCAATGTTCATAGCAGCACAATTCACAATTGCTAGACTGTGGAACCAACCCAGATGCCCTTCAATAGATGAATGGATACAAAAAATGTGGCATTTATACACAATGGAGTATTATACAGCACTAAAAAATGACAAAATCATGGAATTTGCAGGGAAATGGATGGCACTAGAGCAGATTATGCTTAGTGAAGCTAGCCAATCCCTAAAAAACAAATAGCAAATGTCTTCTTTGATATAATGAGAGCAACTAAGAACAAAGCAGGGAGGAAGAGCAGGAAGAGAAGATTAACGTTAAACAGATACATGAGGTGGGAGGGAAAGGGAGAGAAAAGGGAAATTGCATGGTAATGGAGGGAGACCCGCATGGTTATACAAAATTACATATAAGAGGTTGTGAGGGGAATGGGAAAATAAACAAGGAGAGAAATGAATTATAGTAGATGGGATAGAGATAGAAGATGGGAGGGGAGGGGAGGGGAGATAGTAGAGGATAGGAAAGGTTGCAGAATACAACAGTCACTAATAGGGCATTATGTAAAAATGTGGATGTGTAACCGATGTGATTCTGCAATCTGTATTTGGGGTAAAATTGGGAGTTCAAAACCCACTTGAAACAAATGTATGAAATATGATATGTCAAGAGCTTTGTAATGTTTTGAACAACCAATAAAAAAAATTAAAAAAAATAAAATAAATTATGTGCTATAAATATTGACAATTTAATTCCATTATTATTGAGCACCTTCCATGTTCCAACTACATTTCAGCCAATAGATACACTGTATTGACTAAAAGACAAAATTTCCTGTCCTCTTGAAATTTGCTTTCCAGTGGTTAAGATGATTGTTTATAATCCTAAACATGGTTTATATTCAGAGCCACCTTTTATGTCTTTGTTTAGGAGCTTGGAACACTAGGAAGCACTTGTTTAGAAGCAGAAGGCCATCAGGAACTGATTTGTGTTTTATCATAAACAAGTCAAGACGTTCATCTCACGAGAACATAATAAAGATAGACTCTAAAATTCTGACAAGGTATTTTTACATATTTGAAAGTAAAAGTAAACATGAGATCAATCTGTGGCATTGATCATGTGGTAATCGTCTGAATCAACAGAAAATATCATGAGTGCAAAAAAAATATCGCAAATTACTGTAGGATTTTTGCTTGAACAAGCAGCAGTTAAAATTAAAAAATAATAATTAAATGTCATCATTTATTTAAAAATATTACAATGTGATATAAAGAAGTTTTCTTCCTTCCTAGAAATAAATTCTTACTTTTCATAAACTTATAACCCTACTTTTAAGTGTGACCATATCAAATCTATCCATGTTTTTCACTTACCCAAGGAAGTATAAATTTGGTTTGGTCAGATCAAAGTTATGTGGGATCTCATTACAGACAAAGGTATTCACTAAATTTTTGAACACAAAAAGCTCAGGTCTTAAGTTTTTGAACAATAGTTTAGGCTCGTGAGATTTCTAAATAAAAAGTCAGCAGTCCAAAGCATTTTCTATAACATTTTAAAATGTGAAGACAAAATTGTGGCTAATAAGAGCTGAAGGTCAGGTTGAGAGGTAAATACCACAATGAAAAAATACTGGCAGTCAGATCCAAATGTAGAAGTCAATTATGACTTAAAATATTAAACTTATAAAGTTAGAGCTTATATGTATATTCTGTACTTGAAGGGCAGTATGTGTCAAGATATGAGAAAAATATTCTACTAATATCCCAAGCAGCACCAACCAGTCCTATTTTATTCCTAGTTTTAACTGAGACTTTTCTGAGCTCCAGTTTGAAATGAGATGAAAAAAGATGTCCAGATATAATAAATAAACTAGCAATTATGTTTATGAGCTGATTATGTTTACCTGTTTATCTCCATTTTCAACAAGCCATTTGCAAAATTCTTCAATGGCAGTCAATGTTTCATAATCCTCTAAGCCCAGTGTTGCTTGATATGCACTGATACTTTTTATAAAATATGCCTCAACAGCATCTGGAAAAAATAAAGACAAGTGCTAGCCTTCACAAGTTTCTAATATCAGCTTTGGTTCAATCAACACTTTGACACTTAAAGTTCAGGCTTACTTTCATATTACATCTCATAAGTACCCTTAAAAAAGACCCTGATGCTATCAGATGCTTTCCATGATATAATACATGTATTTAATGTAGAAAAAGAAAGTTCTATCTGAATATTCTTATTATCCTAATAGCTAAAATAATTACCACATGAAACTCCCAAGTGTACTGCAAGACAATATTTTTAACTAAAACTCTTGATACAGAGATCACTGTTTATTGAGGTTCCTATTTTGTGAGGGATGGAACCTCAATAAACTAACCAGGGTCCCAAAAGAACTAATTTCTTCCAAGTACAATGTCCACCATGACCTAATAATATTGCAGTAGGTCCCATTATTGATTTTACATCTTTTTTCAATTAATTCAATGCTGTAAGTTATATTCTAAGCACACTTTTACTCCATTCCACAAATTTTGATGTTGTTCTCATTTAAAAAATATTAACTCTAAATATTTTAATTTTCTCTTGAGAGTTCTTCTTTAACCTATGCATTATTTAAAAATGTGTTATTTAATCTCCAAATCTCTGGGGTATTTTTTCAGTACCCTTCTGTTATTTATTTAGTTTAATTCCATTGTGGTCTGAGAGTACAGATTGTATGATTTCTATTCATTTAAATTTGTTATGACCCAGAACATGGTCTATGTTGGTGAATGTTCCATAGCAGCTTGAAAAAGATGTGGTTCTGTTGTTGATTGGATGCAGTCAATAGATATCAATTACATAAGTTGACTGATGATGTCATTGAGTTTAAAGCTCACCTTTATTGACTTTTGTCAGTTGGAGCTTTCCATTTCTACACTTGATCTTAGCCAAAAGGCCAGGAAGCAGTGCACCTGTCCATTTCTGATAGAAGGGTATGGAAGTCTCTATCATAGTGAAAGCGTCTATTTCTCCTTGTTAGTTTTATCAATTTTGCATCATGTATTTTGACATTCTGTTGTTAGCTGCATACATGTTAAAGATTGCCTTCTTGGAGAACTGACCCCTTCATTGTTATATAATGCCCCTCTTAATCCCTAATAGCTTTTCTTGTTCTAAGTCGACTCTTTCCAATACTAATATAGCCACTTTTCCCTTATTTTGATTAATGTTAGCAAGGGATATATCTCTTTTTTTTCCTACAATATATTTGCCCAGTTTTGGTAGATGGTAATGCTAGCCTCATAAATTAGTTCAAAAGTATTGCCTACTCTTGTATTTTCTGGAGGATATTAAATAGAACTATTATTATTCCTTCTTTAAATGTTAGGTAGAATTCCACAGTAAAATCATCTGTACCTGGAGATGTCTTTTCATGGGAGATTAACAACAAATTCAGTTTTAAAAATAAATAAAGATCTATTCAGGTTATGGCTTTGATGTTTTTGATTTTAAGTACAACACTTTTATGACAGACACAGTTTTAGATCTTTTTATAATTAAGTCAGTCAACTTCTTCTCATGTTATATCTTTATTTATGCTTAGAAAGTTCTTCTTTCCTCCAATTTTAAATTTTAGTACTTTCTATGTCAAGAATGTATTTTCCTCTGGCTAATATATATTTTTAGTTTTCATGTGTAAAATCTCAATCTATCCAGAATTTAACTTAATTAACGAATAATAATGATTTGAAGATATATATTTTAACATTAAAAATTAGTATGTAAGAAAAAGATAAGGTGCTCTTAGAATCTACCAACTCTACAAACATAAATTTGGGGGGATTTTCCCCCTCACAGAAAAAAGGCTAAAATTCCACATGTTTATAAATATGTTAAATTTCTTAACACTACAAAAACTACTTTTAAAAATTTTTACTATACATGGAATACATAAACTGTGCTTATACACAAATAAATATTAAAATGAGAAAATGATGAGCTGGAAAACACAGAATTAGAAAGTCTTCAGTGAACATTTATGCTTAAGCAAACAACTTAATTAAAATGTCAAAACTTCTGCAAACTAAAAAAAAGTTTTTATTTAATGACATGGGGAATAAAACATTTTATAATCCTCTCTTCCTCTTCCCCACCCAACTGAAAAATAACGTACACCAAAATGAATTACTGTTATAAGCAGAAAAAAGTAAACATTTGAAAAATGTTCAAATTGCATTGTTCACAAATCCTAAATTCCTCCTGACTGGGCATCAACTCAATCAGTGTTCATTTCTGGTCAGGCTAGCTATGAAAAATATACTGTCTTCCCTTCACTGGTTCATTTCTTCTTCTTCTTTTAAATACAAATACTCTTCACAACTCTTTTTTTTTAAATATTTTGATTTAGATGTTGATAGACCTTTATTTTTTTTATTTATTTATTGATATGCGGTGCTGAGAATCTAGCCCAGTGCCTCACACATGCTAGGCAAGTAGTCTACACTGAGCCACAGGCCCAGCCCCTCACTGGCTCATTTCTGTCTCTCCCAAAGTCACCCACTTTCAAAAAGATGATCTTGCCAGGCAAAAAGACTCTGTCTGAAAGATCAATCAATCATTGGCTTTCCTCCAGTAACTCACTCTAGGAAATAGGTCAAGAAAATTCTAACTGCTACATTGTCTTATAAGCCAGAGGAAAAAAACCCAGGAAGTTGAGAGTGGAGGAAGAGGGGAGGACCAGCCAGTGTTTTCTTTTATCATTAGTTTTCCTTATTAATCAATACATCACAAGTCACTTTCATAGTATGGATGATTTCTACATCTTATAAAGGTACCTTATACTGAGATTCTAAAAGAATAAGGGAAATACAAAAATAGATGATTTTATTGGTTTTGATGTTCCAAGTAATATGGGAGGATGTTATCAGGTCTAAATTCATGTGTAATTGATCTTGTACAAAATCATGACCTGCCTAATCCTTCCATCACAAGCATCAGTAACTAATAATAATATTTATTATAGATAGATTGTTCACTAATATCTTCCCATATTCACTGGGAAATGATGAAAACTGCAAGGCCACCTCTTCTACCTACCCCTGTGCTGGGGCTTTCCAGACATGGCATAAGCTTTGGCTAGTAATGCACTTGCCTCTGCAGTTTGAGGGCTGACTTCAGTGAATGAAGAAACAGAGATAGAATAGGCCTGGAAAAAAAATCATGACAAAGTAAGTACCCACATGACAGTTTTACTGTAGATTTTCTGGTAGCTTTGATAGAATTGCTAGTTGATTGAAAGCCATGGTATAGCTAATCATGGAGTTAGATGAAAGATGCCCCAGCTGTACCACAGCTTTGAGTCTTCCTCAAGTAATTTCACCTTCTTATGCAGAAGGAACATATGGTTCCTACTGATTAGGGCTTGGGAAAGATGAAATGAGTTGGTGTATGCAAAACTCTGGGCACAGTTCCCAGCACATGGTAAATTCTCAATCAATATTAGCTAGTGTTAATTTTACTAGGTTTCACAGCAAAAATAAAATTATAACTTTAACCTCCACAAGAGTTCAGTATCAAAGTCAATTGTAAAGCATGGATCCTACAGCCACACTGCCTAAGTTCCCATCCTGTCTTAGATTAATCTCCATAGAAGATAGATCACTTAGCTTCTTCAAACATAATACAGATGACAGAAACAGAACTGTCATAACCAATTGTTGTAAATATTAATGAGCTGATAGATGTACAGTGTTTAGAACATCACTTGGAATTCAGTAAGAACTAAAGAAGTCTAAGATTTCATTATTTATTATTATTTTTTGTGCTAAAATGAAAAGAGCATCAGAAAGAAGAAAGAAGAGTAAAAACATCTAGTCCATACCAACCAGCAAGAAAAGAACACCTGCACTGAATATGTCATGGGCTGAACACTGAGAGGTGTTTGAAGGAGTTGGACTATCAGACAATGCTGTAAAGCCAAGATACAGAGCAGAGTTGTTTTTTTTTTCTCATTTTTAAGTTTAAAATGACTTTTTTATTTATATCAGTAGTCAGATGGAAGTGATTTTGTTTCACTTAACCAAAGGCACTTAAGTATCGATCTGAGCAGTATTGATTAAGTATTGATTCATATAGGTCAGAAAATAAAAATCTTGTCCCCTGTCACATTCAATAAATTAAAAAATGTTTACTCTTATTGTGTTCCATTTGTGTATGATAAATTGAATGCATTCTGTTGTCATGTACCACTAAGTAGAACAAATTAAAAAAATAAACCCCCCAAAATTTTAAAAAATGTTTACTCTTTCTATTCTGAAACCATGAGGGCTCTTACACTGGAGAAAACTTAAAAATTTATAGCAAATTGTATATAATCTTAGGATGTATTCCAAATTTTTTTAAAAATTATTTATTTGCTCTACTTTGCATACAAGCAGAGAAATGAAAAATTGTGCTCCATTTGTGTGCTATGAACTAAAATGCATTCTGCTGTCATGTATAACAATTAGAACAGAATTGTTTTTAGTGTCCAGGGTGAAATTTTCTGGGTTCAAATCCCCACTTTTCCACCTGCTATACAACTTCAGCTAATTAGCTCTAACTGTTTGTGCTTTACTTTTCTCATCATTAACACGAGATCAAAATAATAATGATACCTCCTCCTTCATAGGGTTCTTGCTTGGCTTAAGTGAATTAAAACATACTCAAGTATACATAATAAAAGCATTCCATGAGTTTTAACCCTTATTTTTTACTTATAAAAAATATAAATAAAATTTTATTTTTAAAATGGGAAACACTGATATTTACAATTTTATCCATTTTGATCTGGCCTTGGCTTTAAGAACTCTTGAACTCAAAACCCAGAGCAGCTTCCTCTAAGAGTGGATTCCCTGCCTTTAGAGATGTATTTCCTAACATTTCTCCATCGTGGGATGCTTATTCTCTTGGATTGTCAAATTATATGCAATGCCTTTTCATTAGCTATCTGTTTTCACATATACTCTAAGATTGCACTACAAACTTTTCTACAATGCAGGAAATCCAGCCTTTTGTTTTGTTTGTGGCTACTGGAGATACTTGAAGCCATAAGCAGCATTCACATTCACAAGAAAAGATACATTCAACTAGCAGTTTGAAGTACACAATATGTCAAAGTACCCTAAACTGTTTTCATATGATAGACTCAACATTCCTTTCCTGTGTTCTGTTTTGTTTTGGTTTCCCTTTGGCATTTGTCAAATTAGTTACCTCCAAGTGAAACAACCTTTTATCAGTTTAACCTTAGACTTAGAAATACAACCAGTTAGTTTAGCTTAAAGGATAAATGACAACATTATAACATGATTTTTTCATTTAAAAGGCCTTTTGTGTTTGCTGAAGACCTAAGTTCAGTTGCCCCTATGTTTTTTCCCCTAAGAGTAAACTCACACTTGGCCTTCCTCTTCCCAGTACCCAAAGAGATGCGAAAAAAGCCTTGGAAGGCGAGAACTGTCTCTTGACAAGGTTGCACAGCTGATATACTCACCTGAGTCAGTATTCTTTGCTCAAGTCACCTAAGGTTGACAATGGGTGTTGTGTGGATCTGGCAGGAAGTCAGGGTTAACATGGAACCAATCCCACCCCCTTGTTCTAAGAAACCCACAAGAAGCCCACACTTCCCTGACCCTTGGGCCAAACAAGACCAGGAAGTTTGGGTCCCAACCAACTCACTAACCTGCTTCAAGTACTGGATGGCCTGCTCATGGTTCCTCCTCAGCTGCTCAATCTGGGCAATTTCCTCATAGAGACTAATCAGATCTGATGTGTCATTACCCTCGGTAGCAATGACATCACCAATTACCTTTTCAAAGTATGCCAGAGCTAGGTTCAACCTATGGATGGCCAATGAGGCTCTACAAGAAAAGGAATAAAAGTAGAAAGTCACTTACTTTGCAGACACAAGGAATTAATCCTAGGAACTAACAAATTTGACCTTTATATGTCAATCATTAGGGTACCTGGCTCTGGAGCCAGCTTTACTGTAAGTAAACTCCTATTATCCTGCATTTTACTCATCAGATTCTACTGCCTACATTCATTTAACCCATTAATATGTTGTGCCATCAACTAATTTTTATAAAAAATGGGAAAATGGCATCCAACAATTCACAAGATGGGATAATTTACTCAGAAACATACTCTCAAAAATCCAAATAAAAGTTTATCACCTCTAGTTCTCTCCCTTTCAGGTCAAAGAAAGTTTCTGCTTTGTTTTGAATTAATTTGTTCATCCTCAGTTAAAGATGAGAAAACATTGCAACAATCCCTTTAAGGAGGTGGCTAAATAACTTATGGCACCTTGTATACTAAAGTACTTTACCGAGTCCTGGTTTTTATAGATTAACAATGTGGAGAAATATTCAAAATGTGCTTAATTTTAAAAGCAAGATATAAAACTATGCATCAAATATGATTCTGAGATAGATCAGCAGACATCCAGCCAAAGTGTTCACAGTAGTTGTATCTGGGTGGAGGTACAACTGACTGTTATTTTCTTCTTCATATTCATTTGTATTTTCAAATTTCCTACAACAAAATTGGAAATATAACTTTTTTTAAAAAAATAAGGATCAGGCTCTCATCAAGGTTTATCTTTCTAGAAACAACAAGGCACAGTGAGAAAAACATGGGTAGTTCAGAACTGGTTTTTAATGGCTAATAGCTTTATCAAATGTCAGAAGCCTATGTTTTCTTCCAAATTAAGCACATAATTAAACACATTTAAATTACAAGGTTGTTGCAAAGATTAAATACTATATGTAAAAATCACCTAAAATATAGCAGATACACATACAGTCATTATTACTTTCCCCTTATCCCTTGATGCATATTGAGGTGACTTTTAAAAATTATTTTACCTAAGGCATTCTAGCAATAGTTCCTCTTTTTTTTTTTTTTAAGCTGGAAGGTTTATCCTTCCCCTGAAGATTAGGATTAATAATCAAAAGAGCACTGGTAATATTATCCAATAATTCTCTGTAAAAATAATTTTTTTCCTTTAGTTGTATATGGATACAATGCCTTTATTTTTATGAGGTGCTGAGGAACAAACCCAGTGCCCCATAATGCTAGGCAAGTGCTCTATCACTGAGCTACAACCGCAACCCCATAAAAATAATTTTTTAATCAATCAGACCACTATTTCCCTTGACCATAAAAGCAGAATTATAGAATGACAATGGCTTTCATCAAGGGATTTCAGGGTGATATTAGCAAGTTGTCTGTCCCGAATATCCTCTTCAGTTTCCTTACCCTTAAATGGAAAAATGGACTTGCCCTCACTAGATATTTGATTAATATCTAACAAAGTGTGATATCTAATATCAACTAAGTGTGGTACAAAAGGTGAGATATGGATTCAGATGCTTTAGTTACAAACATGGCGCTGATCTATTAGTGACAGAACTACTCTTTTTCTGAGTTAATCTTTCTGTGCCTTAAACATGTAAAATCAAAATAGTAAAAATATCTACCCTCATATGTGGTGGTGAGGACTGGATGAAATAAATTATACGTACTCAGAACAGTGTCAAGTACATAGTTGGACTGCAAACATTCTAACACGTAGAATAGTGCATGCACAAAATAGCTACTCAGTAAATATTGTGGACTGAATGAGTAAAATAACACTAGAATTCATTCTGAAAAAGGAACAAGGCTTTCTTTCGTATAAGGCAGAAAAACATTAGCCACTGCCCCATGTTATAGCAGTAGACATTACCATACTCTAACTTATGGACTTAAGTCAATAGTTTGATTTAGCTCTGGACATTCTAACATCTCCCCACTATTTCCCATTTGACTTTTAGATCCACAGTTGTTTAGAGGAGGCAGAGGTGATGAATGCATTTTATTTACTTACCATTTGGCCCGTTGGCCTACTGTGCCAAGTGCTAACAGTTTTGGAAATAGACTGCTTTCAAGGATTGAAGATATTTGAAAAATCTAGGGAACAGTATAAACTTTTCTTTTCTCTCTCTCTCTCTCTCTCTCTCTCTCTCTCTCTCTCTCATAATATGATGGGCCTACTCTCATTTATAAATATTCTGATTCTCAAAGGATTCCTATTCTCAACTGCAAAAAAAAAAAAAAAAAAACAGTTAAGTCTTATTCTAGCTTGAACAAATTCTATTAACTTTGTTTCCACACGGAACAATACTTTCCTTAAAAAAATGCATGTGCTGTGCATAGCTTTCATGGCATCCAATTAATTCTCTCCATTAAATGTTCCTTCCCTGTTAAGATATTAAAAGTCAAAAGTAGGAGGCAATTCAGGGAAAAACATAATCAACCCTAGAATAAGTATGAGAGGCAGTACACAGAAGGGCTAAGAGTCAATGAGTTCATATCACAGATCCAGCACTTACAAGATAGGTCACCTGGACAATGTGTTTAACTTCAGTCTTGGTCTCCATGCCCCCTCTCTAATGAGAGCATAGTTATGCCAACTACATCAATGATGATTGTGAGGATTAAGTAGTGTGGCAGTGCACATTAAAGCTTGGAGCAGAGTATACATTTGATAAATAGAAGCCTCTTTTATTATCATGAGTTTCTGTTTTTTTTTTTAACTATGAATATTTTTCTCCCCTTCAATAGAGCACAAAACAATGTGCTACTCCAGGCCTTATTCATAAGCTTCAGCTTCTCTACACCCAGATCTTACCTGCCCAAAGCAATTGTTAGATCTTTCTCTGAGACGTATAATCCACATCCACAAATGCCTCTCTTAGTTAATCCTTTCAGTTCCTTCATTAGTCTGTCTGCCTTCTGCAGGTTGAAATAGGCCTCTCTGCCAGTGAAACAGTCAAGGCAAATTCCAGGCACACAAACTAACTGCCACTGCATAGGGACAGCAGTTGATAAGCAAACAAAAGGGCCCCTTGGGAAAATGAAGCAGTATTTGAAAATGGGTACTTAAATATGTGTGTATTCTCTGTCAAAAAGGAAGAATTCTCTGGAAAAAGCGGGGCCTTCAGTTTCCTGTGCAGATTGCCTAAATTCAGGTCTGCAGTGGATGGTAAGGGTTTGCAGGTGTGGATGGAAACAGTAAATTACACTAAATTTCCTTTAGCGGCATCTATTGCGTGACAACAGTTATTCATTTTTCCCAAGTTGTTTCATAGGAATGGTAAGAGAGGAACTAATTATGCTGAGAGGGACTTTCTGGGTCACTTAGAAAATCCAGGAAAGGCAGGTTTTTGGCCAGAGGCAAATAGCGGGGGGAATCCCCTCAATTCCCAAATACCCTTCTATTTCCCACATTTTCAGTAGCCCCCTGCTAAGAGCATAATAGACTAAGGACACAAATCAGATTTCACAAGTTGAGCTCCAGAATCAAAAAGTGGAGAATGGAATGTGTAGAGAGAACATCATGATTATTCATGAACATAAGAGACCCTTAGCGTCTTTCTAGTGGAGACAGTAACTATAAAAATCACTTGCTTCTTGGGAGAGGTGCTATTATAGTTTGGTTCTTAAATGTCCCCCAAGGTCCATGTGCTAAAGGCTTAGTTCTTAGCATGGTGCTACTGGGAGGTGGCAGAAGCTCTAAGAGGCAGGACCTAATGTGAGGTCACTGGAAGTGCACCCTTTAAAAAGATGGTGGACTCCAGCCCCTTCTTCTCTCATTTGAGGTTTTGCCCCTACCATGATGTGCTGTGTTGCCACAGGCCCAAAAGCAAAGAGGCCAATAGACTGTGAACTAAAACCTCCAAAACCTTCAAATTCTCCAAAATAAATTTCTCCATAAGCTGATGTATCTCAAGTATTTGTCAGAATGACAGAAAGCTAACATGGCCACATATCACAGTCACCCTCTGGGGACATGGAGAATGACCTCTTTCATCTAGTTTTCTTGGCTTCCAGTTTCACAGACAATATTTTCAACAACATTCCAAAAAATCTAAAATAATAAAAAATCCATAAATAGTGGGTTTGAGCTGCACATTTCAGTCATGTGGGGGACTTCTAAACATCTCAATGAATAAATACTTCTCAAACTTACTAAATCAAAAACTCTGGGTTGGCATCCATAGAGCAGTAATTCTTAAGATTTCCCAGGGAATTACAATGTGTAGTCTAGTTTGCCAAACTGAGACTTAAATTACTGCCCATTCTCTCCATTTTTACACTGTCACCACCACTGCTCATATCTGCATTGCTAATACTTCTTTTCTTGTATGCTCAATGAAGAGCACCTCAAACATGGAGAACTTTCAACTGCTGAGTGATATGTCATTAGTGAGATTGTTCCGATGGCTCAACTCACGGCTTGCAAGACTAAACATGGGAGGAAAATGCCTACCTTCTAGATGGAGACAGGCTTGGAGGGCTTGGAGGCTGGGATGCAGCTACAGGGACTTAATGTCACCTCCCACCCTCCCATGATGACCCTCCTGGAGTATATACCCTGTGGTCCTGATCCCCAGACCCTTCTGAAAATGAAAGGATATTGGTTCTGTAGGAGCCAGATCACCCCCAGAGTGTAGTTGAGCATGATCAGAGCTTCCAGGATTTCCTTTTTCTCCTTGTCTGAGGACGCATTTCCCTTCCAGGTCAACAGTATGTTCTTGGCAGATTCAGCATGTTTCTTGGCCTGAGCTGGGAGGCCTGGAAAAAAGAGAGCAGGTGGCAGGAAAAAGGATGTTAAAAAGCCACGTTCCAATCAAAGACATTCCTGGAGAGGAGAAGGTGGGCAGTATAACTGTCATATAGTCTTTAGTTCCTAAACCTGGCTGTGAATCAGGATTATCTAGAATGCTGGAAATTATCTAGAAATCTATAAAGAATATAGATTTTTGGGCTCCACCCAAGACTTCCTGAGTTGGAATCCCTAGAAGAATGGAGTCCAGAAACTTCTATTTTTAACTTCTCAAGTGGTCCTTACGCAGCCCTCCTGGCATTAGTCTGTGGACTTCAGTTTGGAAATCACTAATAGAGACAGAAGTGGAAGCTGAGAACCCCCTCCCCAGTTCTGTTGCTAGTACCATGTGATTCTTTCCAACCACAAAGCTTATCCCCACTCCAAATGTCAAATGACAACAATAATTAAAGAAGCTGCCCCTTACCAGACACATGGAGATAGTCCAGGAACAAACTATGTTATGCCATAGAGTGCTGTGCTTTGAGCTTTCTGGAAAAGGCATTCTATAAATATAAAGCTTATGAATCCAATTATTTCCATCTGGACATTTTTTTAAATCCTAGATGAAGCTAGTAATACTAATTTGTCACACACACACACACACATAAAAGGAATCCAGTTTCTAAAGCAGTGAGGCCCTCACTAAGAAGACAAAGGGAATATACCAAACCCCAGCTAGACAGACTGGTAGGGATTTCCCCTTGTTCAAAGGCTAGTGTTCCCAAGTGCTTTCCAGAGCTGTCTGTCAAGTTAACAGAGGTAGACTTGGAAACATTCAATGCACATCCTCATCTTCTAGCCTAACTTGTGTTTTTCCCTTTCCCTGATGGGAAGAGGGAAGCCCTGACAAAGAAAGGCCAGAAGAGGACATACCATCCTAGCTCTCTTTCACTCTATTAAAAAAACAGTGCTGGAGTTCGCTTTCATATCTCTCTCTCTCTCTCTCTCTCTCTCTCTCTCTCTCTCTCTCTCTCTCGGCTCCTAGGAGCTGCTAAACATTCATCCCTGCCAAGTATGCCCACTGTGCCCCTCACTTCACACCTCTGGCCCAGGTCCTACACAGCTCGTCCTGCCTTTGGCCCTTGGTGTCTGATTTCACAGCATGGATTCAAGTCAAAGGCAATAGGGATAAATTGAAAGGATGTGACCTTGATGCCTGCAGCCCTATATGTTCTAACGAGCAGGACCTCATTAATGAGTTGCCACAATGCAAGGAAATGATGCCTCCTCTGTGAAAGTTCTAAGTGTAATCCTGAACCAATCATTCTCTGTTGAACGCTCAGGGGTATCGTTTCTATAGGTCTTAACTGAGGAGAGAAATGGACTCTGTGGTTAAAGAGAAAGCTGTTAGCAAGTGACAGTGGTCCTCAAATTGTCTATGCAGATTCCTGGGCCACACTTCAGTGGTTACAGTTGATAAGCAACTGGGGAGAAAGCTATGAATTCACATTTACAAGAAGCAATAAGGTCTCAGGTGATAACCAAGAATTTACATAGGTCACATCTTAGGTGACATTAATGCAGGCTGTCTGAGGTTCACACCTGGATGGACACTAATTTAGTAAAATCTTTATATAAGAAGCGGGACTTGTTTTTGAAGGGTAGACAGGATTTTGATGGATGGAGAAGAAGAAGAGTTTCCACTTGGACTAAACCGACTAAAGCCATAAAAGCAGAATAAGCAAATGTATGTGTGTGTGTGCGCACACACACACACACACACACACATGCACGTATATGTGTTTGAGGCTAAGGGGTTATAAGAGTGTTAGGGAAGGTAGTAAGAAGACCACCCTGACTGAAGGATAACTTTTAATTTAAAGATATACAAAGTAAGCACTGGATATGTAAAATGAAGTCTTAGGTGCTACTGTATTTATGCTACTATAACAGATTACCCAGACTGGGTAACTGATAAAGAATAGAAACTTGTTTCTTAAAGTTCTAATGTTGGAAAGACCCAGATTCAAGGTAGTGGCCTCTAGTTATTTGGGTTCTCTTGCCATGTCCTCACATGGGGAAAGAGAGAGAAAGGGGCTCAGTTCTACGTGAAGCCACTCTTACAGGGGACTTAATCCCATTCGTGAGGGAGGTGCGCTCATGACCTAATCACTTCTTCATGGTCTACTTCTTAACACTGTCACATTGTACACATGAATTTTAGAGGGGACACATCTAAACCACAGCAGATGTCAAGATGAAGAGGTTGGGTTGATTCTTTAGTCATTATAGGTCTCCAGAAAGAAAGCAGAAACTAGTAGACTACAGAAAACTCTGCCTGGGACCTGAGAAGCTGGAATTTCTACTTTACAAACCAAGACAATAAAGTGAGAAACTGAGAGTCTTTTGATCAAACAGGCTAGTTTCCACAACCAAGTGGGCCCTTGGGAGTATGCTATATTAAGAATTGCAGCAACCAATTTCAGATGCTTCCCTGGGTTCTCAGGAGGAGTCAGGTGAACACCACACACATCAGCACAGCAGCACCCCTCTGGGCTCCTGAATGGGAAGCAAAACAATTGGCACTAAAGAGAGTGGCTTCAAGGCAGTCCTTGGAGGTTTGCAAGCCTGCCTCCTCCCTGCCAAAGTGCCCAGGGCTGGTTGTGAAATCTCAGGAGGTAACTTTCCTCTAAGCTTTGCAGCTGATTAACAATCCAGGGGGATTCCCTGACTCCATGCTACCCTGCCCCACACTGGGGTCCTTCTGATGAAAAGCTGAGGTAGTGACCAATACAGCTTAAGCGAACTAAACTGTATCTTGATTTAAAACTACTTACTATACTTTAAAGCAGGCCCTGAAGGGGAACATCACTCCTTTCACCCTCTGACGATCTACTCTGGTCCCCAGGTAGGAAGCATGGATTCCTATGGGTACATAAGGTGTGTGTATAGGGGATGGAAATAAAAATTTCTCTACTATCTTTTTTATCTTATTCTTTTTTTCTATTTTTACAAATGTTTATAATATTACATGGCATATCAATCAATACTGTTGTACATAATATATAATAAATATACACATACAGAGTATGTTTGCTCAAATCTTTCAAGTGATGGGAACTAACTCACAAAAGATTGGAGACCACTGTTCTAGACATGTTTTCCACCCTTTTTAAGTATAAAAGAGTCCTATTTATGTTTAAAAGAAGTTCACATGTCTTCTCCACTTTGTGATAATAATTATTTTTATGGCACATACTACTTAAGAAAATTCATGACAAAAAGTACTATGAATTCATTATCAGCAACATTTTGAAATGAATTTACATTTTATTAACTGCAAAAACACCCTCTTTTATGCAAAATATCACTGTCTAAATGTTTATTTATAGGAATTATTATTGCACCTAATTAGGGAGCACACTACAGGTTTGTGTTTTCCCCATCTCCAAGCCATACATCTTCAATCCTGGTATCTGCCCTTAGATCAGTCATTCTCCTTTACTGGCCCTCTCAGACCAGAGATACCATCCTTTCCTCCTGGCACTGATAGTAACCAGAGAGGTTAAATTCAGAGTGGCAGCAAGGTCTGCTTCCATAGCCTGAGATTCGGCAATTACCAAAAAATGTTGATGAACTAGCAAAATGGGTCTGAAGATTGTCCACTGAACATATCAATCATTTTACTCTGGTCTGGGTTAGAGTTCTATCACTAATGTTAACTACAAGACTCAGGCCAGAGAGAATTTGCTCAGAACTACCCAGTCTTTGGAAGTTGCTACTGTTATCAGAAAACAGTCAGTTTTGATCATTGTCTATATTTAAAAAGTTTCTGTGGCACAGTGATTAAGAGACCAGGTATCAAGTCAAACTTCCCAGATATAAATCCTGGCTTACCCACTTAGTAGTATTCATTTGGTCTTGAACAAGTTACTTATCTGCCTGTACCTCAATTTACCCACCTATAAAATGGCAATGAAAATAATGTCTATCTTGGAGAGTTGTTGCAAGGATTAATTTAATTCAAAAAAAGAGATTAAGTAGTGCCTGAATTAAATAAGGTTCAAGAAACACTAGTTATTATTATTGCCAGGGTCCATTTCTCTTATGGAGTGACTATTATGTTTGTCCTTACTTTAGACATTTTTCATAGTACTGCTTATAGAATCTCTGAGAAAAGGCAGCATTCTCACAATACTTCAGGTAGGTAATAAACTCCTTGAGGACTAGATTTTGTGGATTTTTTTTTACTGTTGGAAATTTTTAATCAAATGAATTTCTAAAGGCAGATACTCAAAGTCCATGTTCTTTCACTCCATTAAAAATTATTGGTGCATTCTGATTATACATATTATTGGGATTCATTGTGACACATTTGTACATGCACATAACAATTTGATCTATTTATTCCCCAATATCTCCCTTTCTCCTTCTTTTCCCTCCATTTGATCCTCTTCCTCTGCCTTACCATTTTTCCTTCTATTTTCACTAGATATCTTTTCTTTTCCATTTTTTCCCTCTCTAGTTTGACATATGATAGAAAGTGCATGACCCTTCCTTGACTTTCTGAGTCTGGCTTATTTTGCTTAACATGATTTTGTGAATTTTAGAATTCTCTATTCTTTCTGTACCCGATTTTTAGACAGAGTTCATAACTTGTACTTCTTTTCCTGGATTTCGTAAAAAAGTTCTGAATGCCTAGAAAGTTCCCAGTAATAACAGGCTAACTGATTAATTTATTGCTTCATTAATAATAGGCAAAACAGCAGGAAAACTACTTGTCCACATTAATGTATTCTCCTTCCTGAACATCTGAAAACAGTTCACCACCAGAGGCCAAACTGCCCTGGTGTTCTCTGCCTGCCCTTTCCTCAGAGTTCCCCAGGGCAGCAACAAGATTTTCACTGCTAGCACCCCTAAGTCTGTCTCACCACAACAGCCATTTGACATGCTCTGCTTTACAAGGACTTCATGTTCTCTTTGGAACCCCATCCTAGCAGTTATACCATTTTTAAAAACCCTCAAA